TCCAACAAAAAAATCAAGGGATTGTAACTATAGTCAAAGGAATGGCTGCAGCTTAGGGGAAGAAGAGAAATCTATCCAAGCATACTATGGTGCCCTACTAGCATTTATCCGACAGCTAGCTATCAAAACTGACAGAAGCAGCTTTGTGGTTCATTCCAAAACTGAATTTATGTCTGTAAACAGGTCTGTAAAACTACAATACAATCACATAAACTGAAGTTACAATATGCTTGTACATGTCTCTTTACAAATGCATGCAATGAACACATTTATTACAGCTACCTACAAATCAGATTAAATGTATTGAAATGTGATCTAGCTATGTATGTGACTTTGACAAACACAATGGAAGAACTTACAGGCATATGTGTATCAAAGGGAGGAAGGAGGCCTTCACTAGTGTTATTCTGGAAGCTAAACTGAAACTGCAGTGGTAGACAGAAAATCTTTATTTTTAACAAACACTTCCTGCTATTTATTGAATAAACTGTGGATCCTAAACTGGGATATGTATTCCCCACTGGTAAGTGCAAGGCCAATAGGGATAGCTGCACATGAGCTCTTTAATGCTCTTGCACACCCTTCTGTCATATTCACATTTCACACCTACTTGTTTTTTTGCTTAGTTTTGGCAGCCCTCTCACCACTAGACCCCTGATACTGACAACCACTACATACTCACTCCATGATCCTCTGCTTCCTGCTCCAACCAAGTCAGACCTTGCACTGTCCATCTTTTTTCATCTGGCTGAAAGATTTTTCTTTGTTTTGCATACCTGTGTAGCACCCTTCTAGTTATCTAGGGGGAGCTAGAGTCCTGATTGACTGAGAGGAGGGCTGAGTAGCAGCCTGGATGTAATAGCCAGAAGGTCAAATTGTGGTTAGGGTCTGAGATGCTCTTCAGGCATTGGGTGGATCTGAAGAGTGACTGACTTACATTCTTGAGGGATCCTATCCAATCCCCAACAGAAGGCTTGGCAATGGGCTGGGACACCCTTAAAAGTGTTGGAGCCTGCTCAGCTGGAGAGGGAGAGTTCAGGTGGAAGACAGTGAGGAAGATGTGAGGCTGAAGGCAGAAGGCTGTGAGGAGGCTCAGCGTTATGGGGCCTACCTTCAGGCCTGGACAGGAGGAAAGCTGAGTTTCACTGGCCCCCAGAGCGAGGACCATCTGCATGGCAGGGAAGGATCAGCCCAGCTGATAGGCCTGGTAGCAGCCATCAACCCACCAGTGGTACAGGAGAGAATCTGAGTAAGTACCCCTGCACCTCCTGGGCAGATAGGGAAAGGAGCACTCTGGTGTGAAACCAGAATTGCTACCTTTTTGGGACTGTCCACTTTTAAAGTAACTGACACCAGATCCCCTGTTCAAGGATACCTCCAGATTGCTGGGTGAAGGAAGAGGAGTTCATATGGAATCTGGGGTGGTACAATAAGGAGACCCTGGCTAGATCTCCTATAGAGACAGTGTTGCAGTCAAGGCTTGTAAATAGTTCCAGGAAGTTGTCCTCAGTTCATCAGTTTCCTTGGGCATCCTGTACACGCCCAACCCTATCCCAGTTCAAATCCCCTAAATAAAATAACAAAACCAAAGCTCAAGGACTGATCTCTGACTCTGGATTGTTACTTGTTACTGTATCCTGGATACAAGTCTGAATGGAAAATACATGTTGCCTGACTGTGCAGGACTATAGAGGGACCCAAATCTTCTAGCGACTCCTAGTGCTACACTTGTCAGCAACAATGCCTGGTGAGATCTGACACCTACAGTTCATGTGGTTCTTACTCCTGACCCCTTCACTCTGTGTGCTACCCACTTCTGACCCCAGAAATGTGTGCATAATGCACTCCTCACCCAGAGCAGAGAATATTTATATTTTATTTAGCCAAACCCCTGTAAGCCCCTCCATCCCAATTAGTGCAATTTGGACGCACCCACCATTCAACAGGGTATGGTATCGACTGATTCGGAGGAGGTACAATTTAGGAAAATGGACTGTTGAGGGATATGCAAGAGAAAATAGTTTGAGAATCACTGCCCTTTATTGATAAATAAAATAAGAACACTATAGTTTCTCATTAACATTTTAGTTTAATAACTGGCCACTGGACAGCAACTGAGCTGGATCTTAACCTATTCCACTGTGTGCTTAGACCAGCAAATATGTCCTATGAACTTCTTCACCATGATCCTACGCAGCTTTCATTCAAAAGCCATGAGCACATTTCCATCATGCAGGAGATGTGTATGTCCAACATAAAGGTCCCCACTCCACTAAAAGTCATTGTGTTACAAGCAGGAAAAGTAGGGTTTTATTCCTGCATTATTACAATAACAAATTTTACGTTCATTAGTTATAGCCTAATGAAAATGTTGCATTAAGCAAAATTACCACATGATGGAGCTGCTGATACATAAATAAAAAAAAGAACCAGACAGCGAAAAAGGGACCAGAAGGTCCTTTACATGTAGCCATTTAAAATGTCTATTATATGGTCTATTATGTGCAAATGACATAAGCTTGGTTGTTATTTAAGGCACTTTGAACTTAAATTACAAAAATTACAGTTTATATGTTTTGTGTCCATCTCACTCTTAGGTGTCTGTGTTACTCCCAGGTGAAACACAGCACTTAAATGCTGCTGAGTTTAGTAGAATTATTGCTATTACCTGTACACACATAGGATCAATCAATAATTCTTATTACATTCATAAAATATACCACTTATATACCGATTTTGACATAACACATCACATCACAATAATTACCTCATTGCCTTATCACTAGATTAAAGTACACTTGTCAAGAAAAAAAATATGTACAATGCTATTACTAACGTCTTATATTTACTGCTGATGTTTCCTGAGTCACAGATCTTGAATACTGCCTGTAAGACACCAATGCTAAAAGATAAATCCTGTTATTGGGTAGCAATATTTCAGTATATCAAAAATGTTGAAGAGGCCACATACTGTATATAATTGAATAACAAGCCAAATTCATAAGGCGTTTTGTTTTTCTGAGGCCGAGGGCCCTTTCTCCACCTTATGCACAACCCACAACAAAGCATTAAAAAACAAACTTAGGCCTAATGAGCAGGGCTTTACTATATTTTACCAGTTTTCCAGCATGCAAAAAGAAATCTGTCAAGATAGAAATATAGGGTTTGCTAATGTTGATTTCTATTTGAAGGTTCAGGTCCCACGGCTGCCACCTTTATCCTTTCTTCACTAATTTTCGAGTCACTGCTCCAGAGTTGCCATACCTACCCAGTGGTGTATTTCGGTTTCATGCTGCCCTAGGCAACAAAAAAATTGGCTCCCCCCCATGGAGAGACCCTGACACTGACAAACACCCCCCTCCTCCAAGATAAGAGCCTGACATTGACCAACAACAGACCCTCCCCCCCCCCTCCTGAGAGCCTTCCACTACCACCGCCCCATACACACTGGCAACCCCCCCACCCTGACGAGGGAGAAGACACTCACCTTCACAGCCCTGGACATCCCTGGGAACAAGAGTCAGGCTCTGCGTACACCATCAAGCAGCCTGCAGCCTCTCTCAGATCCTCCCTGGTCCCCATGTTGCGTGTGTCCTTTCTACCATCCCTTCTTTTGGGGGGCGGTGCTGCCCCCCTGAAAAATGCCGCTGCCCCCCCTGAAAAAAAGCCACCCTAGGCAAATGCCTTGTTTGCCTTGTGGTAAATACGCCCCTGTGCCTACCATTTCTTCACTATTTCATGGGTGTCAGCAGCCGACTGGCGGTAGCCTCTAGCGGCCCACTGGCCGGAGTCCCTCAGGGCACAGAGTCTAAGCCTCAGTCTGCTGGTTCACCAGAGCCTCTGATGGTGGGGATGGACTTGAAGCAGTCTGAGACCAGGTCGCGACCCCTGAGAAACACCAGCTGTGGTAGAGGCGGATGCCAATGGCATAGAGCAGGTAAGAGCCAGATGTGAAGAGGTATGTGTGGTCAGACAGCCGGGTTGGCAACAGCGGAGCAGACAGTACAGAGCGGCAGGCAAAAGAATAACAGGTCACAAGCCGGGTTCAGTAACAGAAGGTCAGGCAATCAGGATCAGGCAGAGAATAGTCAGGACGAGCCAGGGGTCAGAGCAGGAGAAGACAGCAGTATCAGGAACAGGCTGGGTCGGCAACAAGGTAATCAGGAGCACAGGAGCAATCAGGAACACAGGTACAGGGAACAAGACCATAAGGCAATTTGGATATGCACAGGGCTGATTTAAATAGGGCGCCCTGTGCCCTCATTGGTGACAGGAGCGCGGCCGCGATCGTGAGTGCGCATGTGCGGCCGTCGCCGCGATCGTCTATGTCTCAATGCTCGCCGGCTAGTGCGTGTCGGCGATCTGCGCATGCACGCACCTCCGAGCGGCCGGGATCCCTGACAATGGGTCTCTGCCCAAAACCAGAAGATGTATCAAGTGTCTCCCACAGCAAAGCTCTGTGTTATTTTTCTAGGTTTGTGAGTCACTTAATAAAACAAGATTGAGCATCACAAACCTAAACCTTGTACCCTCAAAAACAAGTCAGCTATCACAGCTCCCATAGTTTGTCCTTGATAGGTGTAAAAGTACTCAGAGTACTGCCCTAAACAATGTTATGAAGGTTTGTCACGCAGGGCAGTTGTAAAAGGCTATGACTGTACTGCTGAGCTAAGTAAGAAGCCAGGATGGGAGATTTCAAAGTAGGTTAGTTTAGGAGGACTAGGGAGGGCAGGTAAGTGTAGTTTATAAGGCAAGGTTGTCCTTTACATAAGGCTCTAAGAGGTAGATTTACTAAAACTGGTTCACTCAGAATCTAGGGCAGCTCTGCATGGAAGCCAATCAGCTTCTAACTTCAGCTTCTTTAACCACTTGGCAACCACGCTATAGCCGAATGATGGCTACAACATGGCTGTCCAGTTCTGGGAGGGCATCATATGACACCCTCCTGAACGTGCCCTCCCATGTACCCCAAGGGGCGTGCACATGGGCGGACTGACAACTCATGGGGCCCCTGGGCAATAGGGGATCATGGGGCCCCTGTGTCCTTGCCCAAACTCAAAAAAAGCCTATGAAAAAGGTACCAGGGGCATCTCATGGGGCCCCCTACTGACCCTGGGCCCTCGGGCAGTGCCCGAGTTTCCGAGTTGCTTTGTGAATGCGCAGCAGGGAACCAGCTGTGAAGCCGCAAGGTGCCAGTTTCCCTTACCGTAGATGCCGACACCTGCACCCAAAGCTAACTGAGGACATCGATGCATCCTTGGACAGGGGAGTGCTCTTATATTAAAAGTCAGCAGCTACAGTATTTGTGCCTAAATTTATGAAGAGAGATTATTTTTTTTGGAAAATTTTATAACAGAAAAGAAAAACATGTTTTAAAACATGTTTAAAAAAAAAAAAAGAGCGGTGATAAAATACCACCAAAAGAACTCTATTTGTGTAAAAAAAAAAAAATATATAAACATGTCATTTGGGAACAGTGTTACATGACCAAGCAATTTCCAGTTTTTATAGTAGCACAGTGCTGAATAGCACAAAATGTCCTTGTTACGAAGGGCGTTAAACCTAAAAGAGGTCAACAGGTTAGTCATATGGCCACCACTGTTTGTTTACATCCAGGGTTGCAAGCCTTTAGTGTTCTCTTGTCACTTGCACATTATGCACATTTATCGTGAGTCAGATCATAGAATTAGGGTAGCCCAGTCACACAATTTTATATATATATATATATATATATATATATATATATATATATATATTTATTTTATATATATATATATCCCTAATGTATTTTTTAAGAATGCATAACTGCATAATTAGGCTTTTTTTTACCTGCTTGGGATTAATTTTTAATACTACTGTTCTTAAAATATTATAAAACTTTACTAATAAAAACTGCAATTACAAAAGCAAAGGTACATTTTAATAGCAATAGCTTTATCTGTGTGCATACTGCAATAATGCTTCTGATCACTTTCTAAAATCTGCATACAGGTATTTTACTAGTTAATTTTAAGGCTAGTGTACTCTGAATTTTTTCAATCCTAATAGTAAAAGAATATATATTTCTTATTTTTTTTTCCTTTCCTAAAAGAGAAATCTGGTAAAAGAAAAAAACAAACATCTATACTCACCTAGGTGGATGCACTACTGATCGCTTGGTTCTCGGTTTTCAGTGAGCACAGTGTGTGAGTTGTGATCGTCAGTCACCGGCTCTCTGCTCTGCCCCTCCAGAGTTCACTGGAGCACTGGGATTTGGAGGGGGGTAAGAGTCTGAGCCAACTGCCGGTCTAGGCATCTGGTTCTCTCCAGAGACGTTACGGGTCACAGTAGCACAGAACAAAGTGAACTACTATGATCCATGGGAGAAGTAGGACCAGAAGAGCTTTGGCCCTACTTCTCCTTTAATTTAGTGATAAACAAATACCTTTTCCAGTGTTTTTACTGTAATATTAATTGCCTCTTTATAAACTCATTTATTTTGCCCAGTTCTTTGTCAGAGATGAAAAAAGCTCCATCAATATAGGGAAAGTCTCAGTATGAAGTGCACAGTGTTCTAATGTTATCATTGCTCATAAAAATGAATCATTTAGCAGATGTGGCATACACTTCAAAATGAAAATTTCATATTTCGCCACGTATCCCAAACATCCTAAGGGCATTTATTCATATTTATTGAAAGTCCAATCATTGCTTTTCAAAGTGTATTCAAACAGCATTTAAAATAGTGACATCACCTTATTTGGACATTTTCTAAATCTGTGTTTGTCATACGTAAAATGGAATACTTGTCAACGTGATGTAGACAAAGACCTGAAAAGAATCAGATACACTCACATATTGCTGAAATGACCACAAATAAAGGCATGTATAATAACAAAAGCTATGATTAAAATCATTTTACAGGCAGTAATTAGAGTCAGGGCTGCTGTCAACAAGTCACCATCTCTATTAATTACACCAACTTTCTGCTCAAATGCCTCCTACTATTTCTTAAAGCTCTTAAAAATGTCATCACATTTTCTTAAAATGGCATTACACAGAACTGAACAAATACAAAATGTCCCACTGTTACACTTCAAAACTTGATAACACTACAAAGTACATAATCAGTTTGATTTTGGTGCATTCTGAACTCTGTTAAGTTCCACTCTCCAGTTCATGAGATTTGGAGTTGATGCCTGGGCTTCCAGGTTTTTGTGGCTATGTGGTAGAGCTAGAAGTTTATCCCAAGCAAGCCAATTAGGAGTAGTGTTCTGCCTGGCCAAAGGTCAAAATCCCCAGTGGTGCAATGAGGAGTTGACATGTACTGTTGAACAGCAGTTATAGCTTTGCAGACGAGGCATCCCTCATGCAAATGTGTCTTTAGGCCATGTTTGTAAATGTCTGATTAAAACATTCCATACCTCTGTTGGCCTGTGGATGGTATCATGGTGCTAAGCTATACTTTATTCTCTTTGATTTAAGGAAAGTCTCAAACTTTTGAAATAAATTCAAAACCACTGTTGGTAATGATTTCCAGTGGTAGTCCCCACCTTGAGAACCATCCCTCTAAAGCAGTGATAACAACTTTAGTGGTCATGATTTATGGTGTAGCCATCTCTGGCCAGTTGGAATACAAATCATCCAACCAAACAGTGTCTTTGATGTTTTGTTTTACTGTACTTTCTCCACGTACATCCAATTGGATTGTATTCTATAGCCCTTTTGGGAAATGTTTGATTTGTATTGGAGCAGCTGTTTTCCTCTGATTTTTGCCACTGAGAAAACTTGGTTCACAATTGAAAACTATAGATTCTATTTGGATGTATATAGCAGGCCTCCACACTGCAATCTATAAAGTTGTTTTGTATATAACACACCTCATCTGCATGAGCTAATTTTAGAACTGAAGTGGACCTACTGTTAGACATGTGCAGAACAAAAAAATTTGTTTTGTTTCATTTCGGATTGGATTTGTTAACTATTTAATTTTGATACATTTTTTTCATTAAAATAACAAGCATGTTATACTCACCTGCTCTGCGTAATGGTACTTTTCATGTCCCCCGCCAGCGATCTTGGCTCCTCCTCTTCTTAGTGTGTACCCATAGCAAACCATTTGCTATGGAGGCACATGGGGGTTTATTTACTAAAGCTGGAGAGTCCAAAATCAGACTCACTTCTGCATAGAAACCAATCAGCTTCCAGGTTTCATTGCCAAAGCTTCATTGAACAAGCTGAGGTTAGAAGCTGATTGGTTTCTATGCAGAAGGGAGTCTGATTTTGGACTCTCCAGCTTTAGTAAATAAACCCCATGGTGTCTGCTTGCTCCCAAGCTGTGTGTTCAAGGAGCCATGTTCCATAGACTCACACAGAGGGGCTTAGCCCAGCCCCCTTCTCCTCACTGCATTTGAATGACAGCAGCAGGAGCCAATGACTCCTGCTGCAGCTCGAGTCCCGCATATAGAAGAAGAAATAGGAGAAGCAACCATGCACAGCACTGGATCTCTTTTCCTCTTTATTCCCCTTCACACAGGGAAAGAGGAGGACACAGAGAAATATAAAATGTTTTGTACATTAATGCAAGCAATGCATTAAAGTAAAAAAAAACTATATTCATTTTCAAATGGATTAACATTTTTTGAAGTATTCGAATTTGAATCGAATTGAAAATATTTGAATACGAATAACATTTAGTTAGGTACTACTTGTTCATATAAGGTTTGCATATGTGAGATTTTATCAGATAAAAAAACGTTTTCACAAAATCAAAGCCTCCATTATGAGTCTCATAGAATGTTACATGAAATTATAGGTAAGTTATCATCATTATCCCATATACAAATTGTGGAACTACATGAGAATCAACATGTGCTGGACCCCAAACAATTTGATGCTATTCATGGAATACCACTAATTACTAACATGAAACTCACGTGATCAAAGATGCTATCTTTTTTTTATACTTTTAAAAGATAAGTTCACCTTTTTGACAAAAATAATAAATGCTAATTTTTTTTTTCAGGTAAAAAATTTGAATTTATTATTTTTGTCTACAGGAGCCTGAAAACCATTGCATCAGCGATCAGTAGATTGCTGATGCCATGCAGGTCTCCTGCAGACCTGTCAGAATATCTGCTTGTTGTACAGGATGTATGGTCAAGCAGATATTCTGACAAGAAGCTTCAGTGAACTACCATGGCACTCCACAGTAGTTCATCGAAAGCTACAAGCCGACAGCCACCAAGGCTGCTGGGACTTGTAGGCACTCATTCACAGAACTCTGTGAATGAGTGACGCAGCTGTGTGGGCGGAACCCTGCACGGCCATGCTGTTTTCAAATTTGACAGATAGTATTGGGAAACTTCTCCACCTACTATCGGTCAGAGGGAGAGGAGGCGGCAGGTACAGCTGCAGCTATGGGAACATGTTACATGTTGCACTCTAAAAATGGGTGGCACATGTAACATGTTCCAAAGGTGAACTTATCCTTTAAGACACATATGCATAACAATTATCTTGAGTATAGTCATTGAAAGCATGTTATGCCTTTCCTTGTGCACACCATCTACTACTGTTAGAATAAGATTGGGGGGATCAATCGACTTGGGTACAGCCAACATGTTGGATTTTTCATTTGATTATTACCAACAATAATCACTGCATGTTCTCCCAGCAGGGATGTCCCTCAGTCTTTGAAGGAAATCAGCAATGGTCAGCAATATGTTTATACTTCCAATTCGTTTTCAAATTCAATTTCATATTCAAATTCAGATAATTTGTTCTTTTGGACGAAATTTTGTTTCATTATTTCAAATGTGTTTAAATTTGTTACAATTGTAATTTGGAAATTCAGATGTATCCAAATCTCCGAATAACAAACATTTCATCTGAATTTCAATTCAGAACAAAACAAACCACACATTAACCACATGCCCTTCAAAGGATTTACCCCCCTTCCTGACAAGGCCATATTTTGCGATACTGCGCTGCGTTACTTTAACTGGCAATTGCGCGGTCATGCAAACCAGCACCCAAATGAAATTTACGTCCTTTTTTCCCCACAAATAGAGCTTTCTTTTGGTGGTATTTTATCGTCTGTGAATTTTTTATTTTTTGTGCTATAAACAAAA